TGATCTGGTTCCGTAGGCAGGTACTAAGAAAGGTGATGTGGCTGTAGTACCTGGTTTGCTTCAGGACATGGTCGAGCAGTTTCAAGGCCGAAGAGATTACAAGAGAGTTGCAGTGGGAGAGAGATCCCCGGAGGGAGGAGGGTAACTTCTTCAGGCTAGGCATCCTTAGAAGAGGCTTCGCAGTGGGGTTAAAATTGAATCAGAGATAGTAGGAACTGCAGATGCTGGAGAATCCGAGACAACAAGGTGCAGAGCTGGATGCAGAACACCTACGCTCGGTTCGCAATAAACAACTGCACCTACGAACCATTTCAACTCCCCCTCCCATTCCTCAGACGACATGTCCATCCTGGGCCTCCTGCAGTGCCACAATGATGCCACCCGAAGGTTGCAGGAACAGCAACTCATATTCCGCTTGGGAACCCTGCGGCCCAATGGTATCAATGTGGATTTCACAAGCTGCAAAATCTCCCCTCCCCCTACTGCATCCCAAAACCAGCCCAGCCTCCCTAACCTTTTCTTCCTCCCACCTATCCCCTCCTCCCACCTCAAGCCGCACCCTCATCTCCTACCGACTAACCTCATCCCGCCCCCTTGACCTGTCCGTCCTCCCTGGACTGACCTATCCCCTCCCTAACTGCTCACCTACACTCACCTTTACTGGCTCCATTCCCACTTCTTCGACCTGTCTGTTTCCTCTCCACCTATCTTCTCCTCTATCCATCTTCTATCCGCCTCCCCCTCTCTCCCTATTTATTTCAGAACCCCCTTCCCCTCCCCCATTTCTGATGAAGGGTCTAGGCTCGAAACGTCAGCCTTTCTGCTCCTATGATGCTGCTTGGCCTGCTGTGTTCATCCAGCTCTGCACCTTGTTATTTCTAAGGGCAGGTTATTTTCTGTCAATCAATTGTCCGAACCCTTTGGCCAATTGTCATGGGACAATTACTCATCATGTTGATGACCATTGTCTCCTTGTCCACTTTTATCTGAGGGTTTGTTTACCATTCCCACTCCTTTGTGTTCTATTTGAAAAGAGAGTGCATCAGTTCAATGGGTATTATCGTTCTTGTAATTCTTCTGTTTGTTTTTATATGCAGAACTTTGGAAAGTTAAGTACTGCTGCAATAGCTGTTAAATGAAATTTCATGCTACACAATAAATACTAGGAAAATTGTGTTTTTAAGAGACCCCCAATACCTAACACATCCCTTAACCTCCTTTGACAGTCTGTTTTGACCTTTTTGCACTTTGATGCAAAAGCATCAAAAGCATCTAAGCTATGCAAAGGGTGAAGTCACCGTAAGCTACTGAACCATAAGAGTGCTGTCACATTAGATAGGCAACAGATGATGGTTTAACCTTAAGGTAACCACACCTAATGTGAAGGGAGAAGTCCTTCATAATTTCAGCCAGTGCAGGAATTTAACCCATGCTATTAGTGTTTCACTACATTGTAAACCAGCCTCCACAATCTTCGGGGACTCCTTAGAGTTCAATAACTTTAGGAACAAAAACAGGGGTTGCTGGAAAAGCTCAGCAGGTCTGGCATTATCTGTGAAGAAAAAAAATCAGAGTTAAACGTTTCAGGTCCGGTGACCCTTCCTCAGAACCCAATAATTTTAGGGCCTGAGCACTTCTCCCATGTCCTTACCCCAAACCACAACCAGGCCTGGTTATCACATGCAGCTACCACAATCTCATTGTCAGCTACTAATGGTCTCAATTAGCAAGTATTGATTCCCCCCAGGCTGACCTTTACCCGTTTTTTTGTCTGTCCAACTGTTGCTCTCTGTCCTTGCGCTACATCTCCATTTATTGTCTACTCCTCGCTACACCTCCTCCCCACTTTATCTTCATCCTATAAACAAACATTTTCCTAGCTACTATCAGTTCTGAAGAAGGATCACATTAACTTGTTTTCTCTCCACAGATGCTGTGACCTGATTTTCCCAGCAATTTCTGTTTTTGTTCCATAGCTTTAGTGCTCAGCTGGCTAACCCAATTTACATGCAGAATGATGTTACATATGCTACAAGCTTCTCCCATTTCTTAACTTATACCTTGTCCCACACTACCACTACTATTTATTTCACTCACTCAACATGCAGATTATGTTCAAGTACCATAGAAGTGAACATGTGGTGAACAGCACCAGAACTGTTAAAAGGAAAACTTGAGGAGATGTAGTGAAAGGCTTCCACAGTAGTCTAAATCTCTGAACCACATTTTCTGAAGATCAGTTTCCTGCTCAAATCAGCCTAATAGCTGGTTGTGGTTTTTCTGTTTCTCCTGTCTCAGTGTTGTAGTGTTACATTGGTGTGAACAGCTGTGTCTTCAGTGGAGATCCCTCATCACCCAGAACCCATCCCTGAAGGTTTTTTGAAGAACATAGTTTTGTCTCAGAATAAAAGAGTCACAGTTGTTCCCAAGGAACCAAGGCTCTTGCAGAATCCTTTTGCAGTAGTTACGTGCAATCGGTACTGAATGAATGGAACGTCCCTCTAGATCAAATAACTCAACTGCTCTAATGCAGCCTCTTTAATCAGATCCATGAATGACCCTCCGGGTTTGAGGTAATCACACCATGCTTCTGAGGTAGATTAGCCTCTTGACTTAATTTAGACAGTTGGTTTGGAACTTTGAACTCCCATGCCCCTGTGAATAAGGTATCCATCACATTCCTGACATAAATGATGGGCAGCAGATTGTAGCTACGAAAGGCCCAGCTGATCCTTGAAATGACCAGATGGTGAAGAAGTTAAGCTACCTTTACTGCTAGAGGCAATGGGTGCCACCAGATCATAACTGCTCCACAGATCCATAAGTATCTGTATTGTTAAATGTGGTCTTTGGAGACGTTGATCTGAAAAGGTCCTGTGCACTGGTTGCACCTTATTGCTCCTACACACCCACCAAAGGTGCTTCCTAATACAGCAGTGTGTTGCTGATGTTCTCAATTTTCTGCCCGTCATTCTCCTCCTGATTAAAACAAGCAAATTCTGAGCTCAAGTCACCTGCAGGGACCTCAGACCTGAAGCGTTAACTCTGTTTTTATCTTCACAGATGCTGACAGATCTGCTGAGCTTTTCCAGCAACTTTGTTTTTGTTCCAAAAAAAAAAAAAAAATTTTGTTAATGATCCTCAACAGTTTTAACTGGATGCTCTTCATCAGCTAGTAACTGCCATGCCACTTGCCAGCCATGCCTAGAAAACTGCCCAGCACTGCAGATATATCCCAGCACAACCTCAGTTTGCTTTCAAAGCCAACTGCATTGCACTCCCATGGTGATGGCGGTGGTGTTGGGGGAACACAGTGTAGACAATCTTTATAGACAAAAAGGGAGATAAACATAACACTGCTTCTAGTGCTCGGGAGACCAGAGATCTTCAGTGGGCTTTGAGCCCTCAGCTACTTCCTGTGCAAGTGTCCCTGCATGCGCCAGAAGCCTCCTCACTGATGCTGCCATTTGATTGACAGATTTTACGCTCTCTTTTGAAGTGAAACCACAGGACAGGTCATGCAATGTATTTGCAGGACATTCAAAGAACATGTTCAGCTGCAAGAGGAACCCAGCACTAACATTAAAAGAGTCAGATCCAGGTGACTTTGTGACAGTCACCAGGAGGTTGTCCAGCAGGTCATTTAATGGACACAATACTTCATAATGAATCTGCATTAGCATCTTCCTCTTTGCTGACCCAGTGTCTTCAGAGTCCCACATAGCAAAACGCATTTGCAACCTCACCTTTGGAAGGGCTGGCTGCATCCACGTGCATGCAGCAATTCCCTACCACATACAGATTCCAATTCCATAAAAGCCTCTCAGGTAAATGTATTGCTGAGCTGGTGGATGGGAGCATCACTTCAAGTGAAGGGGCCTCTTCTTCAGTGCTATGTTGTTATTTTCTGTTCCACGAGAGGCTAGTATGGCCATAGTTTTTGGGTGTCCAAGAGCAGAAGATCAAAGTAAAACAGAAGTGGAATGAAAAGTAGCAGGACCATGATCTCTCCAAATTAAAGTTTAGTAATCATGACAGAGGGCAACAAGAAGGTGACTTGGGTGTTGAGAACGGATGCAAAGTAGTAACGTAGTATAATTCTCAATGATGTTGAATGCCACAGGCTGACTATTGATTGCACAGCATTCAATACTTTTTTGTAACTGTTCAGATACTGAAGCAATCCATACATGGATAGAGCATCCAGGCTTGGACTAAATGGCAAGTAAAATTTGCACTACAAGTGCCAAGGAATGACCACCTCCAAAGAATCCAATTACCATTCAATCCGCTGAATCCTCCAGTAATATCCAGTGTGTTACCAATGAGCAGAAACTTTTCTGGACCAGCCACATAAACACTCTACATGAAGATTTAAGCCTGGAAAATCCAACAATAGGCAAGTCTTTCTAAATTCCCAAAGAGTTTCCTGACTTGTGCCTTATAGATGGACTGAGCAAATACTCTCAACTTAAATGAATTGCAACTCCAAACAACACCAAAGAAGCTTGGCACAACTGAGGACGAAGCTTGTTTGGCACCCCATTCACCGTCTTAAATATTCACTCACACCAAACAGTGTGTGCCATCTACAAGATGGACTGTAAAAACTTGCCAGAGCTCCTTCAACAACACTTTCCAAACCTTCTAATATTTAAAGGTGGGAACACTGCCATCAGCACTTTTTCTCCCCCCGACACAAAAAAACTCTCGATCTGGAAATTATAATTTCTTTACGTTCATTGAGTCAATATCCTGGAACTGCCTCCCTAGCAGCACAGTGGGCACACCTATTCCATAAAATCTATTGCAGTTCAAGGTGGTTCACTATCAGCTTCTCAAATGAAATCAGGAATCGGCAATAAGTGCTGACTTTAATATGTACATGATGCCAGGAATCATTTAACTACAATTATGGCGCATAAAATAACATAAGATTTTTTATTATTGATAAAGTTGCAAGCAATTCATCAAAAGGCAGACAATCTAATAGAACTGACCTCGTATGAGCTCATAGATATTCATATCCATTAGTTCACATATTAGAGCAAGAGATCCAGACTTTTTATCACTGAAAAGAAAGACAGAAAAACAAAACTAGTTACATTTATTTGGATGTAATGGAAAAACATTTAAGAGAAAAATTATGAACCTATTTTTTAAATGTTTTCCTCACGGTTTCACTTTTGACTCTAATTTTAAGTGCAACTTGTTTAGATTGCAGCTGAGTGTTTAAAGTTTCACAGACTACTTACTAAATTTCAATTCTCAAACTAGCAGTAATCTGACAGATAAACCAGTGCACAGGTAAAAAGAATACCAATACAGCTCAGAAGGCTATAGATTTCATCACAGGAAAAGAAAACAAAAATTTGTATAAAGAAATGTTAGGCACAAACTGTGCAAAACCCGGAGGGAGCCAACATTTCACATCTTATGACATTTCCTGAGGACTGAAGTATAGGTGAACAGCATTCAAAAAATCTGGATAAGAGAAAGAGTAAAATAGAAACTTGCGAAATCTTTGAATGGACAACAGGAGGGGATTAAGTAGCAAATATGAAACTAGCAGAAGACTGAACACACAGAGTCAAAGAAATAACAAACAAGACACAGCTTGTGAACAACTAAGGAGATACTTGGTAAATGAAATATGAAATTATGTTCCGGACGTCTAATGGAAGACAAAAATGCAGGTCAACATAAAGGGTGGAGACCAACCCATTACAGCAATACCAGTGTAACCTCGGAGAACTCTTGCAAATTGATGCTTCCCTCTCTGATTGTCCCACCCAAATTATTCACGCATTCTTTTATTGCACATGCCTTTGTAAGATCTTGTGGAACCATGAGAAGTCCCAGGTTCAAATCCCATCTGATCTAGAAGGTGGTCACATGTCTGAACAGGTGGATTAAAAATATCTACAAATTTGATTTCTCCCTTTAGTTGTCCTCTTGAAATCATGCCTGTAATTTATTCATCTGTCTACCTGCTGTTTGTCTGTAATAAATCCTAGTGCCGACGTAGAATTTCAAGATTTGAAACATCAGATCTTTTTTCCTTTATAGATGTTACCCGAAACAAAAGCTGAACATAAATCAGGATCTTCAAAATTTAGACGTACATGAAATACTTTACATATTTATTTGACATTAGAAAGAAACCTCTGAGCAATCTGATGTGCAGCTCTTTTGCACTTCATAGTGACTGGCTCAAAAGCAAAACTGGCCCACCCCACTTAACTACACCTCATTGGAGTTAAAATGATCTCCCTGCCATACACAATGCAGTAAAGTACGTATTCATTCTTAGCATAATGTTAAAAATTTATTTTTTTTAAAAACAGAAGCAAGAGACTCTTCTTGCTCTGGCACTTGTATGATACTGTCCTTCAGCCAGATGTACAGGCAGTCTACTTGCAGTTTTGACAGTGCTTTGAGCTCATACAACAGCATCCTTCACATGATCAAAGTGAAATTCCCTTCTGATGATGAGCTGGAGAACATTTTGCTGCAGATCACCCGGGTGAATAGTCAATATTATAATACAATGAATGGCCTGGACACAGTATATGTTGGGAAGATGTTTCCATTGGTAGGAGAGACTAGGACTCAATGGCACATTGCCCTTTTAGAACAGAGATAAAGAGAAACTTCTTTAGCCAGAGAGTGGAGAATCTATGGAATTCACTGCCACAGAAGGCTGTGGAGGCCAGGTCAATGAGTATATTTAAGATGGAAATAGATAGGTTCTTGATTGTCAAGGGGATCAAAGGTTACAGGGAGAAAGCGGGAGAATGGGGTTGAGAAACTTATAATCCATGATTGAATGGCAGAGCAGACTCGATGGGCTGAATGCCTAATGTCTGCTCCTATGCCTTATGGTCATTCAGAATGTGCAAGGCTGCAACTATTGTGCACATGAAACTGTAAGCCTGTTTGTTGCATTGTTACCTCAGACTGGTGGAAGTGCTTTTATGGTCAAAGGAACCTTTACAAAAGGTCTGCAAAATCATGCTACTTCTGCTGGAGTCAAAGTTCTCCAATCGCTCTGCAAGCATGCAGTATATCACCTGTTCTTGGTTCTTACTCCAGAAGATCCCTGTTCAAAGACGTCTGAAGTACAGCATTTACGTACATATCTGCATGCTGCTAAACAGAGTAATAAGTGTACTATGGTCTCCAACTTGGATGTTCATTGGTCTCCTGCTCTTAATCACCAGTAATGTTCAAGTCACCAAGTGAAAATTCAACCATCTGCTTACCTGTGTCAATGAGTTGCAAGTATCTGGGCTGGTGCATTAATTTGTACAAGTCCTGTGACAATGCCTCAGGTGAGTGACCTCCTTTGAATTGGCATTGTCCCCCTGGACCAGCTCCTATAGGACATTTCAGGGTCCATGGGAGACTAAGGCATGAATTAGAACTGAAGGACATGTATTTTAAATGATCACTCAGCATGATCATTAGCTGCTGACATTAAGATCACATTAGTTAGTATTGTGGGCTGATGTTTAATTCTGTCACTAAGTGGATGACAGACGCCCTCGTCTTCAAAGGTTTCTGACGTTGAACAACTCTTCCCATGTCTCAGTTGCAAGTTGAAGTCCACTCACAGTTCTGTCTCTTCTTGTCATGTGCTTACCTCTACTCCAGGAAAGCAAGAAGGGACTTATTAGTGGTGATAATAATGACTAATGGTTCAAGGTTATGAGGAGGAGGATGACGATAAGTGGATAGTCAAGTGAGGATATGAGGAAGTGGGCAGACAGAAGGATAGCTGTATCAGCAAGCTAAATGTGAGGAGTGATATGCCAGACTAGATTTGAGGCAGGAGGAGTTATGCACATCAGAATAAAAGGTGAATATGCTATTGAACTCATCTTTCCTGCCCTGCATTAACCACTAAACAACTTTCAGCAGTGAATCCCTGAGCACAGGACCACTCTTGCAACTGATGTTCAGAGTTCACCTTTGTTTTTCCCGTGCTTCTTCCTCCCATTAGTAGGAGAACCTAGGAAATGTCTTTAAAACAAGGCTATGAACATAAGATCAATCTGCCAATCTTTTGTTGTGCTCCTCGTTTTAAACCATCAAATTGCACATTTATTTGTTCATGTGAAACATGAGCTGCTGGCTCAGCCAGAACTTATTGAAGATACATAACTGTCTTGTTCATTCTTGAACTAGTCTATGGGGTGTATGGATACCCAGAGCGTTATAAGGAAGAAAGATCAAGGATTTTGACCCAGTGACAGGAAAGGAATAGTTTTTTTCCCAGTCATGATGGTGATGACCTTGGCTCTGATCTTAATGATGGAAGGAAGTCATTTAAGATAGTTCAGCACAGGTCCCTACCACTAAGGAACTCCTGTCCTGAGGCAGAGATGATTGATTTCTATGTCAATTCCTTCCCGGAAAGGCTCCAACCAGTGAGGCCTTCTCCAATGCCACTGACTTAGTTTTGCTAGGGTTTCTTGGTGCCTAATTGATCAAGTGCTGCCTTGATTTCAAGCGCAATTACTCACCTCACCTCTTGTTGGTAACAGGCATCAGGAGTATTCCTGTACTCCAACCCCATTGGAGTGTCATGTGAGCAGGTTACTCATTAGCAAGTACTTGTTGATGATTCCTTCTTTCAATTTTTATTTCAAATTTCATATTTGAAATAGACTGATGGCAGTAATTGGCTGATTTGGACATACATGAGCTATGTTTCACATTCTTAGGTAGAGGCGTGTTGTAACTACTGAAACAGCTTGGCTAGGGGTATAGCTAGTTCTGCAGCATGTCTTCAATACTATTACTGGCTTACTGTCAGGGTCTTTGATGTATTCAGTGCCTTCAGCGGTTTCTCGATCACATGCAGAGAGTCAAAATTGGTTGAAGACTGGTATCTGTGATGCTAGAGACCTCAGGATAAGGCCAAGATAAATGACCCAATCAGCAGTTTAATGGAAGATAGATACACACACGTTAGCCTTTTTTTCCACTGTGTTGACTCCCCCATCATTAAGGATGGGCATATCACTGGAGCTGCTTCTTCCTGTAGATGTTTAGTTCTCCATCATGAATCTCAAGTGAAAGTGGCAGTACTGAAGAGCTTCAATCTAATCCATTGGTCATGGGATCACTTAGGCCTCTCGATTACATGCGGTTTCTTCCATTTGGATTGCAGTAGTTCCAAATTTTAGCTTCATAAGATTGACACCTCATTTTTAGGTGTGCCAAGTGATGCTCATGCCATCCCTGCACTTTTCTTGAAATAGGATTCATCTCTCAGTACAGTAATAATGGGAAATATGTCAGAGCATGAGATTACATATTGCGATTAAATACAATTCTTCCTCGTGGATGCCCAGTAATGAGCTACTTGAAATGTTCAAAGTCTGTTACATTTAATACGATGGTAGTCTCACACAAAACAATGTAAGAAGATGGACTTTCTGTCCACAATGATTGACTGAGATGGCCATTCCTACCAATACTGTGATAGATGAATGCATTTACAACAGGAGGATTAACAAGAAAATGGTCACCACCATTATTCCATCTTGTTGGTTTGCTCACCACTGCCAGAGATCCAAATTGTCATCCATATCTTTAGGACTTGACCAGCATTGTCAGAAGTAGCATGATCAAGGCATGCTTTTTTTTTTTAAGAAAACAACACTCACACCAAATTGAACTTCCTTGTCTTTCACAAGCCCAGGGTTTAAATTTAACTCTGGCTTCAATTCCTTCTCTTGAGATTCTGATAGCCTCTTCCTGGAGCTTTCAGACAACAGCACTACAACTTTTTCAGCTCAAATAACCCATTTAAAGTTTTAACCAAACACCTCTGGTCTGGAACTTTGAAACTAAACTCCTTACTGAGGTAATCTTTTTCTTAACAGTAGTACTATTACCTCCCTTTCTCAGCAGCAAATGCTTTACACATCCAACTTCAGCTAAGACTTGTGTAAACTGCCCTGAAATGAAACTAGAAAGCTTTTTTTTTTGCTTTCCAATCCTCCAAAATTATAGAATCTTCTATCTGAAGGGCCTAATGCACTACATTGTGTTTTCTCTTTGCTCAAACTCTCCCAACATAAACAAACACCCTTATACTCTGAAGAGGGGTTATTCTAATTGAATGACAAGACGTACATGATAGGCCAAATGGCCTAAGTTTGCTCCTATTTCGTCTGTTTATACCTGACAGCACTATCATTTATGGTTTGGTATGGATTGCTGAGAATTTCAGGAAGGTATAGGTGCAACTTAATCTAGTAAGTATGATCCATGCTAACTCAGCAGATGCTTAAATTGCAGTGGCCCAAATTAGCAATGGGGGTGGGAGGCCTGAAAAACAACCAGAAGTTCTCATATTTTGAACTTTAAAAATCAGAAAAATTAGAACAGAATCAGTTCTCATTGTCTATCCTCTTCCCAGCCAAGTCCTGTCCCCTCAGCTGGTGTCCAGTCAAGGTTGAAACATAAATAATGATGAATTTGCAAGATACTGGAGGCAATTCTGCTGCAAAGCCAGAAATCCAGCAAGCAGTCAATGTCTTCATGGAGGGCAAAAAAACCAGACAGCAAAACGGTGGCTACATTTCAAAACATTCATTAAACAGCAGTGAAAACAGTAATTCCCGAGTGTACTTCAAATTTTAAACATTCTCTGAAACAATTGCTTAAAAATAAGGTTAGATATTTGTTAGAATTGCATTATTTAAAGTATAATTCTTAGAAAACAGTGGTCAAGTGGTACTATCCATTGACTAGAAATAGATAAACAATGTTGCATTTAGAACTGATAATAAAACAGCCACAGCACATAAATATTCTAAATATTGAGCTATTTTTGCTTAGCAGGTCATGGGAAGGTATATAAATCTTGTTCATGAATAAATTTAATTATAACGTGCAATGAAGCAACACTTACTAGGCTACTTCATGTAACTGAAGAATATTAGGATGTAAACTCAGTCTGCGCATTGCTTGAATTTCACGTAGATTGTTCACTTGCTCCATGCTGATTACAAAATTTGAACAAGACAATGATTACCTGGGTGTTTTCTATTATCAGATAGCATGACATTACAATTTATAAATTTCAACAGAACCTCAAATTCTATTTGAACTCTTGTTTTTAACAAATTTCAAATGTCTCATTTCTTTTGCCAACAAAAACTGCATTTTAAACTTTTTGTACTAGTTACAGTTGACAACATACTCAGTGCCTGTTGTGGTGCCAATTTTAGCTGCCATATTGCACACCATAAGTTGACACAGATGTTCACTTAAGGAGCAGGTGTAGACCATTCAGCAGTCCCTCACGACTGCTACACCACTTGATACTATCATGGCTGGTTTCATCTCAGCCTCAACTCCCCTTTCCTGCCTGCTCCCTATAACCCTTCAACATATTACTAATTAAAATCTGTCTATCTCCTCAAATTTATGCAATGTCCCAGCATCCACCACACTCTGGTGTATTATATTGTACAGATTTGGAAGCCATTCACCCAGAAAAAAAATCTTGAGTTTTGGTTTTTCTAGTTACTGGTTCTATGATTTTTTTAAAGTCTGGTGAACTGAGCTATACAGATCAGGAAGAAAATTATAAATCTTCCAGCCCACCGTCAGCTGAATAAGTCAAAGAACTGATGAGATTAGTGGCAATGGGGTATGTTAAAGTCCAGGCTTAGTAAACTCAGCACTGTTATGATAACATCATGCACTATCCTGCTGCTTTCCACTTCTCATAGCAGAAAGTGGGAGCGAAGTAAATTCGTAAATTTATTTTGTATCAGTTTTGACTGAATCTTCCCTACAAACTTAGCCAACGTTAAGTGAGGTCAGAAAGGATCAGAGGATGTCATGACTCAGCACTAGTTCTACAATTTGAAGGGACTCAGGACAAAAGGTAGGGAACTGGAGGCTAGGAAGAGGAGTTTGGGACTTGACCTGTGGAAGACAAAATAAAACAGAAAAACAAGTTAGTTGCTGCATATTGGGCCTACAGAAAACCTGCTGTATCATTGACCTCACAGCCTAGACATTCGAAGGTATAGAGTTGGAAAGTTGACATTGTGCACTAAAAGTGGCAAGTATGACCGTACCCAACTCCAACAGGTAGGAAACCCATGATCAGCAGGTACTTTGACTCGGAGGTCAAAAGACCCTATTTTGGCTCTTACAAGGGCCTTAATGTCAATAAGTGAGATTCCCTATTTTGCACAGAAGAATAGAAAGGCAACTAAATGGAGAAAAACATTGGTGCTTAGGTGCAGAGGGTTCTGGATGTGCTTATAAACAAATTGCTGAAAACTAGTATGCAGGTAATACGGAAGTAATGTAGAATTTTGGCACTCATTACTAAAGGAACAGACTATAAAAGTACGCTAGTGTTACTGCAATTGTACAAAGCATTAGTGAGACTGTCTGGAGTATTACTTGAAGTTTTGGTCCCCTTGAAGGATGTAGCTGCCAAGGATGTAGCTGCATTCAAGGCAGTAGAGAGGAGATTCATTAGGTGAGGTATTTTGACTTATGAAGATATTATAGGCCTAAATTGTATACTTTCTGGAGTTTGGAAGAATGAGAGGAAATCCAATTGAGGTATACATGATGCTAAAGGGGACTGACAAAGTAGATGTAGAGGATGTTTCCTCTTATGGGTAAGAACAAGAGGTCATAGTTTTAAGATAAGGGATAGCAGATACGAAACACAGATGAAGGGAAATTCCTTCTCTCAAAAGGTCTTGAATCTGTAGTTTGATGGGTGCTGGGTCATTGAGTAAATTTACTCAGATTTTTGAATTAGTAACTGGTTAATGGGTTTGGGGGACAGATAGGAAAGTGGAGTTGCAGCTAAGCTAGAGGAGCTGAACTGTCTATTCCTGCTCCTGGTTAAAGTATAGCAAACACAAATTAATAGAATAGATGCAAATGTGAAGAACAGGCCTGCCTACATGTCATGATCTGAGGTTTTCCCAATCTCCTGCTATTTAAACTCGGGGGTGGGGAGTGGGGGGGTCAATCACAGACAACAGCTGTCAGGATTTCAAAAAAAAAAACTGCTGGACTGAAATAATTTCTGGCTTTGCTGTGTTTTGGGATTGAAGTTTATGTTTTTCTAGAAATTCAGTTGACGTGGAAACTGTTGGGAGTTGCAGTTCAGCTTTAGTTTTAGAGAGATGCTGATAATAAGCGAACCCAGGAGAAGCGTTCAGCTCTAAATTCCAGCAGGTCTGGGAGCAGGATCAGGGACTGGGATCAGGGAACAACTCTGGGAGCGCTGCGACCACTCGGCCAGTCTGATGGATGATCCCTCAGGCTCAGAGGTGGCTTTGCAAAGGAAGAGAAAGTCCAAATCAGGCTCTTTGCAGAGGGCACTGAGCTGGCTCCAATTGTCAGGTTGGAAGCAAACAAAATCCAAGAGCGAAGGGGACAAAGCCACATTGAAGCAGAGAAAGGATTCTCAAAGTTCAGGTGAGCTGCTTTGCTCTTTACCCCTCTCCTGGGAGGCCCAAACAGTGCCCACAATTACAGCCTATTAAAAGAAGCCCTAAGTAATAAATACCAAGCACACAATTTCTTTCTCTAGGAACAGTCAAGGCCATGATGACGTTTAGTCCCTGTATGTGAACAATGATAAGGTCACGTCAGAGATCTTTGATTGCCTTTGGCATTCATTCCCACAGCAGACTGCTACTGTGTGCTGGGAACTTGAATCAGAGCCCGGTGTAAACTGTTCTCCAGGTTCTGACCTCGCTGACCTTGCCTATGCATACTGTGTAACCCTGCCACTCTCTGGAAGTGAGATTTCTGCAAATAACCTATTCCTGTTTATATGTCTGCACAAGCCATCTCAAGGCAGAATTGGATGTGCACAGCAAGTCATTTGAGGTGATGTAACATATGTGTCTGTGTCCTAAATGGTCCAAGCTCCAGAGTTGGGGTCAAGGCGTTTTGAAACATTGGGCAGGGGGTGGGGTGTTGGGGCATAGAGAATTGATTGCTGAGTTTGTGTGATGTTTCTTTTTGAATGTATTTAAATTGGCATCAAATGTGAAACACCCTGACAGGTGGACGTGAACAAGGTCACTCATGGATGGAAACTAATAATGACTGGATTTGACTTGAGGTGTCATCTGGCCTCTACATGACACAGAGAAAAGGATCACATCCAAAGCAACACATTTATCTGAATGGTCAAAATGAGATAATTTTGATTGTAAATTGCAACTTTGACAAACTAAATCTGTGGAGTTTGGTGCATCACCTCCAGTAACTGCTTTTGAGTGAAACACTGGTGATTTTATGAGGAATTTGGCCACTGGCAATGAACGGAGAAAATCATGTGAAGCAACAGTTAAAGGAAAACGATTTGATGAAGTAGCCATTGAGCTATGATGCGAATATTGGTCAGATCATTTTCCACACTGCCTGATCTCTGAATGCAGGCTACGTTTGCAGATGACAAAAATTGATGGTGTAGTGGACAGTGAAGAAAGTTATCTAAGGGTATAACGAGATCTTGATCAGCTGGGCCAATGGCTGAGGAGTGGCCGATAGAGTTTAATGTAGATAAATGCACGGTGTTGCATTTTGGTAAGACAAACCATGGCAGGACTTACACAGTTAATGGTAAATTCCTGGGGTGGTGTTGTCAAACAGAGAGACCTAGGGGTACAGGTACATAGTTCCTTGAAAGTGATGTCGCAGATAGATAGCTTGGTGAAGAAGGCATTTGACATGCTTGCCTTCATTGGTCAGAGTATGGAGTACAAGAGTTGGGACATCATGTTGCTGCTGTATAGGACATAATATATCTTCTCAAATAAGGGGACCAAAACTGCTCACAGTGCTCCAGATGGGAGCTCTCCAGCACCTTAAATAGTTACAGCAAGACTTGCCTACTCATCGTGTATAATGATTTCCAAATCTCTCTGTTCTGTGGTTCTCTGCAGTCTTTCTCCATTTACACTTGCCTGGATATAAGAAGGATGTTATTCAATCGGAGAGGGTTTAAAAAGATTTACTAGGATGTTTCCAGGACTCGAGGGTTTGAGTTATAAGGAGAGGCTGGATAGGCTGGGGCTAGTTTCACTGGAGTGTAGTAGGTTGAAGGGGGTGACCTTATAGAAGTTTAAGATCATGAGGTGAAAATCAAAGGTCTTTTTCCTAGGGTGAGGGAGTTCAAAACTAGAGGGCATATTTTTAAGGTGAAAATAGAAAAATTTAAAAAAGGAACCTGAGCAGCAACTTTTTCCACACAGAGGGTGGTTCATATGTGGGATGACCTTCCAGAGGAAGTGTAGATGCAGTTATAGTTACAATATTTAAAAGATATTTGGATAGACACATGAATAGGTAAGGTTTAGAGAGATATGAGCCAAATGCAGGCAAGCAGGACTAATTCAGTTTTGGAAACTTGGACGGCGTGGACGAGTTGGACTGAAGAGTCTGTTTCCATGCTGTATGACTCTATGACTCTATGATCTGATGGGACATCAGCTGTAGATTAGAAAAATACTAACATTTGGTCATGAGGTATCAAAAAAGCACTTTGTTGACCAAGTAATATTATAGTGTCGTTATGAATGTGTGGCTGGGTTTCAAAAGCTACAATTATCTCAGCTGGTGTTTAGAGTTCACAGCTTGATTAACTGTTTTAAAGCTAAAAACATTAGCTGTCTTTGGTATGGGGTTTGAAAGGGGTTTAAAAAGAAATTAACCACTTGACATTTAAAAGCTTTGGGTGAATGGAAGTTCATTTTTACTATAAAGTAGGTGGGAACACTGCATTAGATTCAGCAAATTACTTTTTTCCATTTCTAAACGGCTCCTGAGGTCTGTCCACATGTATTCTGGCTGAGTGGCTATAGAGGGGCCATGGAGTTGGGATGTAAACATGGGTTGGTACGCAATGAGGACCATGAAATAGGAGTTGACATGGAAGATATACAGGGTTATGTCTCCAAGTGGTCAGGGAGTAACAAAGGCTAGAGAGCTAAACAGGTTCTGACACAACTGGGACAAAGTTACAAGGAACTAAGGCAGACCTCATAACCAGTAGCCACCTCAGTTTCTGAGGTTGCCAGATCTGATCCATCTCACATCCATCACCCTGGAAAGAAAACTGCATACTAGCTTACTTTTTGCCAACCAGGGCCTAGCAAATTAGAAAATTACCCATCTCAAAAGATACTTTATTGAAGAAAATATGTAAACACGTTTGAATCAGTCCAAGAGAGAGTTTACGACACTAATACCTACAATGGGCACATTATCTTATGAGAAAAAAATTGAATGGGCGAGGCTTATATCAGTGGTGTTTACAGGGCTAAGAGGCAACTTGACTGAACCATAAGATCCAGAGGGATCTTGACAGGGTAGAAAGCGTGTTTCTTCTTGTGGTTGGAATTAGAGGTCACAGTTTAAATATAAAAAAATTCACCTATTTTGAGGGGAGAATTTTCTTCCCCACCCCTCCCCCCAAGAAGCTTCATCTGCAGTGAAAGTAGAGTCCTTGAATATATCTATCTCTGCCTTAAAAAAAAAATAAATATAGGGGGTTAAAAAGGTTACTAGGAATAGGTAGGAATGTGGAGTAATCAAATCAGCCATGATCTTACTGGAGCAAGCTTGAGGGGTCAAATGGCCTACTCCTGTTTCTAATTCACATTTCAGAAAATCTGGCTTTAAATATTAGGTTAACATGTCAAAAGTAGTTCCGAGGAAGGGTCACTGGACCCGAAACGTTAACTCTGTTTTCTCCTCCACAGATGCTGCCAGACCTGCTGAGCTTTTCCAGCAACTTTGTTTTGTTCAAAAGTAGCTAGACTGAATTTATTCAAATCAAGACAATGAACACTTGATAAAATTAACAGGCTCTTTTCTGGTAAGCTAGGCTGAGTCTACCTCCACCGCACCCCTCTCCAGCCCTGTTGGTACTAATTTTCCAACTCTCATTAGTCCATTCTGTACTATGCACCATCTCAGTATCTCCAGTTCATGTTTGCACATTGCCTCCCATCCTTCCCCAACCCACATCTCATCCACAATGGAATTGGATACCCCAGCCTTGCCAAATACTACTTCTTGGGTTCTCGAAAGGAAAAAAAAGAGTAAATTTGCAAATGATACATAAAGGTCCAATTCAGTATTTTTCATCAATGGAGCCCCAGTCTGCCCAATACATTAATTTCCATTTGTCAGTACTAATTTTTTTTTTATGAAACTGTTGCCATAGTTGGGAAAAACACATCTGGTTCCCGTCCTTTTTCGCCGAGGAAATCTGCCATCCTTCCCTGATCTGACCACAGCAATGGTTACTGCCCTCTGAAGCAATTAAGGGTGGGTGATAAATGCTTGCCCAATCGCTGATGCCCACATCCCGTGAATGAATAGTAAAAAACACAAAAACAGAAATTACGTGAAAAAAATCTCAGCAGGTCTGACAACATTGTGGAGAGAAAGCAAAGTCAATGTTTTGGGTCCGATAACAATTTCTGTTTTAGTTTCTGATTTCCAGCATCCGCAGTTCTTTGTTTTTTCTTTGCTTTTTATTTTAAAAAGGGTCAACTTACAAACGTGGTTATGTGGTTATATTGTTCGTATGTTTTATGAAGAAGTGTCACTTGGCCCAAAACGTTAACTCAGATTTCGCTCCACAGATGTTACTATGGCAGCAACCGGATTAAATAAGTTTCGAATCATGATAGACACATTAAGACTGATCTTGAGAATTACAGATACAGCTAATTGATTTTAGAGATCATTTGCTTTCTCCGAGTTAAAAGTGACCACATATACATTCCATTACATTAATGGTCACTATCAAAAAGTAATTATTTTAAAATCTCTTGCTGATAATCAGGCTTCATTGCAGTTAAGATATATCGAATAAATTCTCATGACAGCTTTTAACAAATAAATAACAACTTCCATTTGCTAAGTTCGATTGAAATAGCTCCTTGGATTTAAAAGAAAACATAATATTAAATTCTCTCAAAAAGGTAATTTCACTGGGCGACTACAAAACCAAGTTACCTTTCGATATGTTGTTTCATCTTTTTACAAGCGTAGTAGGTTCCATCTTTCAAGCTTTGCGCCTTCCAGACCTCCGAAAATGTCCCTTCGCCTATTTTAGATACTAGTCGATAATCTTTTTTCAAAAAAAAGAGTATTCAATTAAAGAATGCAACATTGGCTCACAACAGACTTGGACGGCTCCATGTTTTATTAAAATTTACACTGGTAGAGATCGCATACCGTTCGCCAGCAGCAAGCTCACATCTCGTTGTTACGCTCGCTCAAATTGTATACCCAGGTACACACAAGATGGCAGACCATCGCCGTGGAGCAAATGTACGACGACAGCCCCCCATTTTTCGGTAGTTCTATTTCGTAGTGTTTTTGTTAAGTGATCATTTTAACTCGGCTCGTGGTTTTAAAATTATGGATACACGCCAGAAGTTAAATCCCCAATTTACTTTTCAGTATGAAACCGAGGTAGGGAATTCGAGCAGCAATTGACAGCGAGGACAGGCCGCCTGCAGCAATCTCACATCGTTGCCCTGGAAACCGGACACAGCTGTCCGTTGCTCTCAGCTCGTGCCGCTTTTGGGTCAGGGCAAAAAAAACACTTCTCTCTGATCGGACTGTGCATCTTTTCCTTAATTTGTAAGTCAGATTTTTAAAAAAAATCCTCGTAGTTGATAGCAGCCAACACTTTGAACGTGTTCTTCTCTTAAACTGATCAATATTTTAAGGTGAGAGTGGCCCAGGTGGTTGGTCGCTCGCCCTACACTGAGGGCATTGGCACAATTTAAAGCGGCAACCTCATAACTATTAGGTTCAACAGCCCATCTCATCTAGCCTCAGTTAGATGTGATATCGCATGTTTGTGCTGCCTCGTGGCTGATTCCAGTGGCCCCGTCTCTAGATAGATGACTTTTTTTAAAAAAAAGGCTGGATAGTTACTGCTTTTGGCAGTCATCTGTCTCATCCGGAATTATTTATAGTTAAGGGTGATTTCACACCCAACTAATTGTAGGCACCAATTGCTGTTCAATCACACGAAATGATGCTTCACGAAATGTGAAAGGCTAGCTTTTAACGCTAAAATGATCTAGTGACCCATTTCGCCACTTTGCTACCCTCACTTCCCAATGGTTTGAGATTACTGTGCTGGGACCTGGAATTCACATTGCGAACGAGTAGTCGAGGCAGACACTAGGTTTATTTCAAAATGTCTACTTGAAATTCTGTGATCTGTCGGCTCTAAACCTAATATTGGAAGCTGGGTTAAGGCTGGTAGCTTTTTGTCATGCGTACGGAGATGAAGGGCCAAATGGCCTCCTGTGTCGTAAATTTTTTATGATTTCTATAACAGATCCTAAGCGCCAACTTGGATCATCTCAAAGTGTAAAAGTGATATTTATTTATTTTTCTCCCATGCCTTTTCTATCCTGTATTTTCTTATGTTCTCATTTTCTCTACCTTGCTTTCTCTGTCTCTTTTTATCAGCTCTCTTCAAAGTTTGCTCTTCCGCGGGATTTGTGGGCACCTGTATCATGTTTCTCTTGCTTTCTCTGCCTGAAGAGTGAGAAAGCAACAGAATGGGAAGATGAGATTATTCCAGTTGATATGATGCAAGTGAAAGCACTCTGTTAAATTTACAGAGCATACAGTTTTAATGGAGTTTTTACTAATGCATAACTTGCACAGTCCTGCCTTCAAGCATTCTCTTGCTCAGCAGTGTGTGAACAAAAGAAAAATATCAAGACTCCAAAATGGAAATCATAGAATTTTACAATACAGAAAATGTCATCTAATTCTTGTCACCAGCACCAAAAGAGATGTTTGTGAAGCCGAATTTCCCTGTTCTTTCCCCATATCCTTTACATCTGCAAACATTAATTCCATTTTAAAAGCAAAGTTGTGACAACTGTGCAAATTGCATAAAGCAACAAAAATCAAGATTGGTCTGGTGCATGCAAACTATACTTGTTTAACCTCTTAAAAACAAACATGCAACAAGGTTAAATTCAATATTACATTTTAATAATTACATCTTAACAGCTTCAAAAAAAATCCAAAGAAGCACATACGATCTTGGAAATTTTTTTGAAGTGCATTTTGAATGTATGAATTTTTTTGGATGAATCTCAGGTTTCCCTAAAAGTGTGTTTGAAAAAAAAACAACTTTTTCACAATCCTCAATTTGATGAATGAAAGCAGAAAGCACAGTGCAGAAGTTACTTTATTAAGCTTTTGGAATTTCCAGCTTTGGCAAATCTTTACACCACCCCAAGTTACAAGCAACAGAAGATGTAGTAATTGGATGGCTGTTTTTTATTCCAGTCTGAATTATTTCCAGGTATAGACTCCAATATAAGAGGAGACCCTGGAGTATAATTGGTTTACTTGCTCCCACCAGGTAGCCCTCTAATGTTCAGTTATAAACAATACAATATAAAAATACAAATCAATAACAAAGATATTATTTCCTGTAGTGATGATGTGCGGGTCTTCACCGAATTGGCTTTCACAACCTGGATTGCATGCTGTAGACACACGTCAGACATCAGTGCACATTTTATGGATAAATGGCTCATCTGCCCTTGACTCTAAGCACTGTATTACTGGGTGTAAACTATATTAAAGGAATTTATTTCCCTTTCCTATTAATTGTTAATAATGACACACCTTATATGTTACTATATTGCAATCAAGTCACTGGATCAACCCTAGTTCAATGGGGCGTGCAGGACAGCATGCAGGAGCAGTACCAGTCACATTTAAAATGAGGTGGCAACCTGGTGAAGCTTTAGGGCAGAACTTACGGAGACAGTATATCTATAGACAGAGCTAAGTGATCTCACAACCAACAAATCAAATCTCTGTGATCCTGCCACATCCAAGCCGTGAATGATGATGGACAATTTAAACAGCCAGCTAAAGGGGGAGGCTCTACAACATCCCTCTCCTCAATAATAGAGGATCCCAGCACATCAGTGTAATAGTTCAAATATCTCAACCTTGTCTATCTTCTGAATCAATATCAAACTTGGTCTCCTCTGGAGGTCCCCACAATCATAGGTACTAATCTATCAAAAATTTGATTCATTGCACATGACATCTAGAAAACCCGAAAAAATAAAACACTGTACACAACAACTATGGGTCCTGACACCTGTACGATTAAAAAAAATTGTGTTTCAGACTAACCGTGCCCTTAGCCAAGCTGTTCCTGTAAAACTACAACACAGGCTTCAACCCAACATTGTGAAATACTACCCACATTGGTCCTGCTCATAAAAAAGCAGGTTAAATCAAATCTAACCAATTATTATCTGTTAGTCTACGCTCCATTATAACCAAAATGAGTGGGGTTGTTGTGAATAGTTATTACATAACATTTACTTAGCAACGACCAACTCAGTAATTCTCAGTCGGAGTTCTGTCAGGGCCACTCAGCTCAGTCTTGGCTCATCACAGACTAAAGAGTTGAATTGCAGAAGTGACCAAAGAGTGACTGCCCTTGGCATCTGGATGGCATTTGTCTGAGGGTGGCACCAAAGAGCCATAGCATAATTGAAGACAATGGGAATAAAGAGGAAAAAAAATTCTTTTGACTGGAGTCACTTTTGGCATAAAGAACATGTTTGAGATTGTTGGAGGCCACTCATCCCAATACTAGTTCCATAGGATAGTTCTGCCCAACCATTTTCAGGTACTTCTCACCAATCTAATGTCAGAAATGAATATTTCACTAATGATTGAACAGCGTTTAGTACCATTTGCAAGTCCTCAGAAACTAAAATGGCGCCTGCATGCAATAAGATGTGGACAACATTCACGCTTTGGCTAAGTGTCAAGCAATGGCCATTTTAACAAGAGAAAATCTAACATTTCTTGACATTCAGCATTATTTCACTTGGTGAATTCCACCCCTCCCCCCAACTATCAATCAACTAGGAGTTGATATTGATCAGAAATGTAACTGACCGAGCGATATAAACACGATAGCCACAGGAACACGGAGGTTGGAAATTCTCATACAAGTAATTCCCCTCCTAAATCTCGAAAATCTGATCACAAGGCACAAGTAAGGATTATTATTTCTATTTGCTTAAATGCTCTGTATGATGTTCATTTATGTAAGCGCAATGTACAGTTCATTCCTCTGATTTAACTGTTAGAAATTCACATAAAAAGGAGGTGAATTAAAAATAAATACAACCTGTCTTTACTCCATAAGCAAGCTTATATATGTATTTACCTGGGAAGCAACGTTTCCTGGTGTTTTGGTCCTCTAAATTTAAAAGATTATATAAAGTAGTTATTAATAAGATCCTGAAGTAATTCTTCCATAAAATGTTTTCATTCACTTGTCCTAAAACATCCATTTATAGTAGCTTGTAAAAGTCACTAAGGTATTTTGAAACGCAGAACTCTCTCATTCTTATTTCTTACTGTATTGAAATCTACCTCTGTCCATTATCAGTTCTCTGGTAGACCCTTTTGGCTTCTCTTTTGTGTTTAGTTATAACTCTAATATCTCTCAGAAGGCAAATCTGTTAAATTTATTCACATCAAACCTTTCAGACTGTCAGTCCATGAAGTCATATCAGTTTATTATTACATCATTTTTCAATAGTACAAGCCACAGTGATCAGGATATATTTTCCACCAAGTATAATAAATATCTTCAATGGCAAATCTACTACAATAAGGCATCAAGTCAACCTCACCACCTCTGTATTTATCATCACATTGCTGGCAAATGATATTATTTTCCATAATATTAGCAGGGCATGTGCAAAACTTTCTCACCCACAGGCAGATGACTTTGGAGGTAAGGGAGTCATTTTGGAAAGGTGCACATTGGGTTGTGCACCCAACAAGATTTGCCTCCGAGTGGTCTTATTGAAGGTAAGCTCAGGACAGCAATGGATACCTGCCCAAAAGGGGCCGGTAATCAATTATTGGCAATCGTGCAAATTGGGAGGGCAGAATGGTAATGCCACCAAGATCCTCTCAATGGTGGGATAGGCCACCACTGCCAAAGATCCGGTAGATGGCTGGAGATAGCATCCTTTTGTAAATAGAGGGTAGGTCCAATGATGCCTCCTTTAATTCCACCCTGAACTTTGAGGACCAAAGGGCTATAGTGTAGCTGCATACCTAATTATGAAAATGAACATATCATTTGATAGCAATGTGAATGATAAACTCATTGGTGGTGAAGTCGATTTGATACCTTATCAATCTGGTAGATTTATTGTTGAAGATATTTATTATACTTGGTTGGCTTGATAGTATGACAACTGCTTACTTTTATACATTCAAAAGGTTGCCACCATCTTGAGGTACCCTTCAGTTTCCCACCAACAGCAGCTTTGTCCACCTCTCCATTGAGACTGCCTGTTGCTCAGATCTTGGGAGCTTTGATTGCCCCTCCTACATATATAGCCTGCCTGCCAATCTTAAATGGACATGGCTGCTGAAGGTAGCCTGTTAAGTGGCCACCTCCAGGAAGACTGTGCAGGCAAGCAGATCTCAAACTGTTGGAGTTGAATCTGGAAATGGTTCTGGTCCAGATTTAAATTCTAAGGAGATAAGATTCTGCCCATTAATTTTCTGAGTAAAAATAAAGCCAGATTACCATATATGGA